TGGATGGATGGATGGATGGATGGTGGATGGATGGATGGATGGATGATGGATGGATGGATGGATGGATGATGGATGGATTGATGGATGGATGATGGATGGATGGTGGATGGATGGATGATGGGTGGATGGATGGATGGATGATGGATGGATGATGGATGGATTGATGGATGGATGATGGATGGATGAATGATGGGTGGATGATGGATGGATGGATGGATGGATGGATGGATGGATTGATGGATGGATGAATGATGGGTGGATGATGGATGGATGGATGGATGATGGATGGATGATGAGTGGATGGTGGATGGATGGATGGATAGATGGATGGTGGATAGATGGGTGGATGGATGGGTNTGATGGATGGATGAATGATGGGTGGATGATGGATGGATGGATGGATGGATGGATGGATGGATGAATGATGGGTGGATGATGGATGGATGGATGATGGATGGATGATGAGTGGATGGTGGATGGATGGATGGATAGATGGATGGTGGATAGATGGGTGGATGGATGGGTGGATGGATGATAGGTGGATAGGTGGATGATGGGTGGATGGATGGATGGATGGTGGATGGATGATGAGTGGATGGATGGATGGATGGATGGGTGGATGATGGGTGGATGGATGGATGATGAGTGGATGGATGGATGGATGGATGGGCAGATGGATGGATGGATAATGGATGGATGGATGGGCAGATGGATGGATGGATGGATGGTGGATGGGTGGATGGATGGATGGATTGAGGGTGGATGGGCAGATGGATGGATGGTTGGATAGCTTATTGTCAGTCCAGCTTGGCTCAAGCACGGGCATTGCCAATTAGCTGTGTGACCTTGGGCCGAAATCCCAGCCTCTCAGAAACCAGTTCCCTAACTTGTAAAATGGCAAAGGTAACAAGCTCAGTCAGGTGACAGGATAGCGATTAGGGAGAGAGAGGGGCCAGAGGGGCTGGCCCAGCTCAGCTGCAGCCTTAGAGCCCCTCTGACCCCCAGGCAGTGCACACAGAGTTTTGGGGGCTACCAGAGGAAGCTGCCAGGCCGCAGACTCCCTGTGCGACCCTGCCCACTCCTGAAGCGTCTCCCGTTTCGCCCACTCACCCTGTCACAGCAGGAAAGGCCCTGTGTGTCCCCACCCAACCCTGAAAGGTCAGGGCCTTGGGAGAAAGTGGACCATTGTCCTGGGCTTGGCAGGAAACCACTGGCCCACCCAGGGAGGCGGCAAGCGGCAGTCCTGCGCCTGAGGAGAGATTCGTCAGTGGGCCCTTCTGGAGCGTGTTCTCGGGAGGGACAGGCCACAGGATCGGGAGCTGGGGTCCCCACTCTCCCAACACCTATAGGCCATGACCACAGGGCAAGGCTTTCAGCTCCCGGAGCCACAATTTTCTCATCTAGAAAATGAGCTGACTTCAGTGGGGACGGTACCCTCAACTGTCGACTGCTGGTCCCAGCCCTGCCGGGGGTAGGGCTGTGAGGGGGACAGTGGAGAGAGGAAACTGCCCCCTCCTCGATGGGATCCGTGAGGCACAGGCCTGCCCGTGCACCGTGGCGGGTGAGGCTGGGCAGGCAGGAGGACTGGCGGGAGGACTCCCTGGTGCTGCTCCTCCCGCTGGGACAGGAGGGGAGGGAAGCTCGTCCAGGAGTGTGAGCCTGGACTGAGCGTGACTCGGGTGCTCACCTGTGTGAGCACACCTGCGCCTTCTCCCCGTGTGGAGGCATTTCGGATACAAGCATGTGGGGGTGACCAGGCTGAGGGGGTGCAGGCGGGCAGGAGGGTGTCATGGTTCAGCTGCATGCCAGCCACTCCCTAGCTCTCTGGGTCGCTGCTTCACCCGCCTGCGTCCCCTCTCTGGCAGCTCTGGGCTGCCTGCCCTGCTTATTGGTGTCCCCCCCACGCCCGTGGGCTTCATCTCTGGGGAGTGAAGATGATGGCCCTCTCAGGGCCACCTGGCTGGGCCGGGGTCCTGCAGAGGCAATTGAGGGCTGGGGCTGGGGCTGGGGCTGGGGGG